GTGCGACGCCTATTTAAAGAAGGTATGAGCCCATTAGCCCTTTTGCCATCCAGAAATTCTGCAGTTTTTGAAAGCCAACTTCTCCTCGAATATCACACCCAGAGCCAAAAATTTCACCAATTACTAGTTAAGGTTCAGAAGCTCTTTAAATGTTTGTAGTCAATTCGTGTCTATTGCGATGCCTTCTCTGCGCAAAGTCTTATGTTAATGAGGAAAAATGTAAACAGTGGCGTCAGAAAAGTTTTTCGCCTATTCAGATCAAAGAAAAAACATAGCAACAACAGCTTTTAAACTGTAAGTGTTACCCAAACATTACCTGTAACAACGTATCTACCGTCACTGGTGGCAGCGAGTCCATGGACTGTGCTGGCCGAGTGTCCAACTAACGTTTGTATTAACTGTCCGCCAGGAGGGGTTAAAAAAGCTCTGGATGGGATCACTGTGGGCTCTGGTGGCCTGCGAGAATCCTGGACAAGCTTGGAAAGTACCTGAAGTTAGAAAAGGTGACGGTTAGGCCAGGATTACAGCACATTTGGCGCCCACCAGTGAGAAAAGCGTTCAAGACCGCCCAAGTAACAGTTGGATAGCAGTAATTGGTTCATATCTTCATGTAAGGTGCTCCCAGGGAAGTGTTGTCTTCATATTCCGACAAGAATCCGTGTTTGCAGTCCGTGACTTTTCCCGCGCTTGTCACAGGTTAAACGATTTCCCGCGCTTTCCACAGGTTACATGCTTTCTAACGTTTGCTACCCGTAGAAGGGTTTCCCGCGCTTGCTGCAAGTGCTGAAAATTTCATTCCTCGTAAAACCGATACCAAATTATCAATGACGTTACTCTTGTTAATCTCAACAAACGAAATGTAATGAACTAACTAGTATCAAAACGTAAAGCAAAATCGCCCAACCGGAACCAAGCGAGGAAGACGCGACACCAGTTTGAATTTGTTTCAACAACGCATATATATACTTACTGGTGATAGGCTGGATGAAATAACGTGATAGGCATTCTTAACCTTACACTGTCAAAAAGAAAGTACAACAAAAATAAACAGTTTTAAGATTAAAACCAGTAACAGTACTAACAGAACACCAAGTCAAATGTTACGTTTTCGGCGATTTAAAGAATATTGTTGTCACAAGTTTCAACTTTAATCCTGAATTAACCAAATCTTACTTTGAAAAGCTGGGTCGAGGCATTTTAACAATGCCGTACAAGAAATAAGGGGGCAAAACCTGACTAAGGGAACAGAAAAAACATCAAAATGGTGCGAACCTCGTAAAGCCTCGCTACAAATTGCGCAGCGAGTTGTTTAGAGTCGCTCAAAATGGCGTCTTGGGCGAGCTGAAGCACTCCCCCAACAGCAGCAATGTCAGGGTCATTGACAACCTTCATGGCGGCATGGAAATTATCCAACACAGACCTGTGAACAAAAGCAACATTGTTAAAAAAATGTTCAAATGTTGTTGTTTATAGTGGTCAATGCGCTTAGCTCCACCTAGCTAGTTCACAGGCATGCCACTTAAACTGAAAGAAACAAATATATCAACTAAACATAATAGGGTTAAAAATCCCAACTGGCGGGAGGCAGACCAGTTTGTTACATACAAGCGTGACCGTGGAGTTGAACTAGGGTCTACCGAGAAACAACACCAGCTAGTGGTCAGAGCGGGACTTGAACCCGCGACCTCCAGATTATAAGTCTGGCGCCCGAACCTCTCAGCCACGCTGCCTCTTCCTCCTCTGTTTAATTCAGAGACAAAATAAATACAAGCATATCTGACCAGAGTGTACCTTTGAAGGAAAGGAAGAAAAACTGCTTGAAACGCTTCATTTAAAAGTTATAGACTGAGAACGTTTTCAGATCGAAGTCAAATTGTGAAGCTTTAAAATGTTTGTATCAATGCTCTTGTTGTAAGTAGCTGGTAGTTGTAGTAATTGAGTTGAAGCATGTTGCAGTAATTTGCAGCAAGGGTGGTAATTTCGGCGAAACAACTCTTTTCAACATGAAATGCGACATTTTTACGCCGCAACTTGCAAGACAATATTGCTCTGACCACTTACCTTACTTAAGTTTATTCTTATAAAGGCAAAAAGGCTGTTACCCTACCTGAGAGAACGCGCCGTTATTTTTATTCTGAGCCAATGAAAGTTACAGAGCACTTCACTTTTTAACTCGTCCCATCTTTCGCTGCGCATCAGATGAACGGGAAGTTCGTGTAGTTTCCTCAAATTGTATCTGCCTTTAGACAATATCAGAGGTTGTCCTGAAATACTCGCCAAGCGCACGTGTTTGCCATGAATGAGAGTCGTCTCCTTCGTGTTCTCCGCTGCACAAAAAGGAAATAAAATTGTTCTAGACCTGCTAATTTTGCGCGATTATCGCTTTTTCCACTAACAATATTAAGCCTTTTTGAGATCTGTGATACAAAAGTTACATTTGACAGTCGCTGCTGCCACCTAGCACGATAGCAATTGATGATAGTTAATGAAGGAAATCAACGTTTGATGAGTAACAGCTTCATGTTTGGTGTTTGGGAATAAAAGGCACCCCTTTCTATTACTCCCCATATAACCTCTCTATATTATGATATCATGTGAGCTGAATAAAGATTCTACGTATCCATAAAAAACCCCTTAGAATTCAACCAAATAGTGTGGTGTGTAGTGCCAAAAAAACTTTTAACATGGCTGTTTATATCAAGGCGTGTGACAGAAACGGCGAGTTTCAGTGTTTCCCTGTGGCCAGTCATTAAGTGCTCATTGTATCCCCTAGCATGCTTAACAATGTAATGATCTAAGGAGAAATTAGATGTTGAACCATCTCACTTACCTACAAAATTTCTTCCCAAGAAATAATCGGCAATTGCGCTGTGCAAGCGCTTTCTCTCAGACGAATCTGACAAGTATCTGGCTTGTGCAGCTTGAACAAACTGACGGTGATACCAGCAAGTGACCTGGGCACCATCCGCCCCCCTGTCCACCAGGTATGAGGCAAGATCCGCCCTTATTCTGACCCACAGCAGGGGGGGAAGCCTTCTGATGGGAGGGGTCCAGTACTGGAACACATCATGGAGGAGGGCTTCATCACACGACAAGATGTCCTCGAGCTCGTTTGTCGTCAGACCGCGAGACGCTGGCAGAACACAACAAAAGAAAAAAATCTTAGGGTCAAATGATCGTACTTTGTGAACTTTCTGTGGATTAAACCCTAGGTAACACCATTTGAAGGAAAGCTATAACGAACGCGTTCATTGCTTTGCACAAAGTGGTTCCAACCTTTCAGTCTGTGAATGGAGCTCCAGTGTATGACTACACAAATGAAAGCTATCGAGCAATACTTTCATGTGGTACTGTTTATTATAACTGCTTGATTGCGAGTCCGACGCGCAGACCACTCGGCTACGCTGCCTCCTGCGATCGTTCAGTCCTGTTTGGAATTGACCTTCACTGGTTTGAAAAGTCACCACAGTTCGTAAGGTATGTTTTACCTTCCATTTTGTTTTCATCACTTGCTTCCCGCTTCAGTAAACGTTGACTATGCTGACTTTATCTCTGTTAGTTCGTCTTTCCAATTGAAGTGACACCATCAAGTTTACTTTGTTTTTAACATCTTTTTCTGTAATGGATATCAAGTTACAAAGTAACCTTTCAATGCTGGCATACCTTAAGCGTAGGAAAACACTTGTACTCTTCATCAGGCAGGGTTGACACAATGAACTTCACATGAAGTGGAAGTTGCCTTGGAAACCAAGTTAACTTCCTTGCCCCGTCAAGAGGGGAGAGCTGGTCAAGAGAGTCAAGAAGGATCACCAATGGTTGTTCCTTCGTAGCACTCGACAAAAAGACGGGAAACTGATCAAACACACCCTTAGTTGACTGAAAAAAAGCAAAATAAAATCAACACAGTGTGAGAAACTTTCAATCTGCGCTTCCCAGGGATTGGATCGGAGTCATACGATATTATTTTCAGCAATTATGTCATCTACTGGATCCCTGACAAACAAGAATTCTTCAAGAATCAAGAATATGTTTACAAGTCTAAAGAGTGGAGGGAAACTAGCCATCAACTACATTGATCATCTTGCCCCTTTTTTATCCAGCGCTTTCAAGGAAGTCAATCCCTAGAACGCTGAGGGAATTTTTGAGATGTTTCATTGCGAAGAGAGGCCCAAGATTGAGCAATACTGTTCCTTCGCCGGATTCCATATCACCAAGAGTTACGACACGCACAGCGTACAGCTGGTTTTCCAAACTATCGAGAGCCTTCTAAACTGGATTTCGTCGACAGCACACGGTGTTTCTGATCCTAAGCTTGTAACCGAAGAACGTTTGCAAAGATGTTACCCTACTCAAGCCGAGAAGGTAAACCTCCATTTGACTTCAGAGGAAGCAAAGACGAATCAGGTGTTCGTCGACTGGTAGCTGTCAAGTTAGGGAGAGACAAATACAGTAGTCCATAAACTTTCTCAGACTTAAGGTGCTTGACGTGGAAAATTTTGTACATTTTCGACAATATTTAAACATAGGGATTTTTTTCACCCAAACTTCACCCAGCATAGTCAATCGAACCCAATCGAACTGTATTTCAATCGAACTCAGTCGAACTAAATCGAACTTCCCAATTAAATATTCGTCCTGCAATCTGTTCTCAGGTGTCCAAAGTTGATACAGGGTGGCATTATCAATCCATCAGAGCGCAAGGCTTAAACTTTTTTAGGTCTCTAAGACGCACACAAAATGACGTCAAACGCCGTTTCATGTACTGACTTATTACACAGTATTAGCAATGTTGTAATTTCTCTTCAGTTGCCTCATTTCAATTACGTGTTTCGCTTCCTTTCGCTACATAGGTATGAATGTTCACGCATACGTTACACCAGGGCGGAACCTGCGTGAGCACAAACAATTACATGGCCATGAATTAAAGCTAGTATGGAACGTAAACTAAGTGTAAACTTTAGTGTTCGAAATGTTACTGCAATATTCAACACCAAAACCTTAGTTATCGTGTAGAAGAGCAAAGCTGTATTTTAAATACTGCAGCCTGTTGACTAATGTTTTGCCTGTGTCATTCATTATCTGTTTCACGGTTAACTAGCTAAAATAAATATCAAGATGTAAGCTGAGAAACGTAGTATTAAAAGTTCATTGTAAAATAATAAGCAACCCATATACACATAAAATTATGTAACTGTTTCCATGTGAATCAATATACTATTTTTGAGTCGATGTAATATA